AAGGTTTGAAACCACGGATGCAACAAATGAAAAGTTAGGTAAATGTTGCAAAAGTTTGAAAGGTCCAAGGCCGTGGTTGCAATTATAATATTAATATTGCTATAATTCTCTATACAAATCTCGTCAGAAAAAAAATAAAAAAAATAAAAAAAAAAACTCGACACTTCCATTTTATATAGACCTTTAAAGTTAGTAAAACCTCTCGCAAATCGAGTTTCTTCCAGGGTAAGGCTTACGTTTGATTGAAAGTTAAAGATTGATCCATCTTATTATTCTTCTTAACTAGGGCGGGTTAAGATTTGAAGTTCTATTTTAAAAGGTCATCCTAGTGTAGAGGAGTTAGTTATAGTTTAAATAATTAATCAAGATGAGATTTATCCCTTAAATGCCCTTGAAAGATGGTGGCTTGTTTGAGCATATCAATCTTAAAATTCGATGTTCACTGAAACGGTCGAATTGTTCGTTTGAGAAGAGTTTTGGTATCCTCTTGTGTCTTATCTTATAAGAGCAAACTATTAAGTGGAGTAACCTTAGTCTTTATATTTTAATTGGGTAATTGGCTTGGATCGTCTGTGGGCTGTGGCTGTGCACGTTTTGTACTTTTGGGCCTTTGGAAAACAGAATTTTTGGTTATGGTTTGGATAATTTATTCTTGGACACCAAGTTGGGCCAGTCACTGCGGATTGGATAGAGAATGGGCTCGATCGGGTTCAATGGACCCGCAAAGGGCCCGGGCTGACTTTGTGTCAGAACGTCAGAACCAAATTTTAAAATTCCAAAAATTAATCAAAACTTTTAAAATGACAATTTACGACTCCGCTGGGGATCGAACCCAGAATCTCTGGTTCCGTAGACCAGCGCCTTATCCATTGGGCCACGGAGTCCTTGGCTACAATCAGTTTTACATATACATTTTAAGAATGTTATATCGTAAAAAAAAAACCCCTTTCACATTAGCCCCCGTTTGACCCCTATTCTCATTTTCATTCTCTCTCTCTCTCTTATTTTCAACTACACAATCTTTCATAAAATAATATTACACGTAAATAAAAAAAAATTCATTTTTTTTAACCACACATTATTTATAAAAACGCGATTCCTACTATTAAAATTTGACAAGAATGGGAATCAAACGGGGGTTTAATTTCATCAATCCTTGTAAGGTTTAAAGTGTGTTTGAATCATATTGTTTTTAAATAATTTATTTTGAAATAATAGATTGATGGAGATTGTATGATTAAAAAAGAAAATTTGCGTTAATATTATTTTAATGAAAAATATGTGGTTAAAAAGAAAAGAGAAAAAAATGAATTTTATGAAAAATGTGAATCAAACATGTTTGGGATATGTTTATAATTTGTTCACTCTATATTGCAATATAAAAAGAGAAAGCTATCACAATTTTGAAAATAATATTATTAAAAATATAAAAAAAATAATTCAAAATTATGAATTTTTGAATTATCTAAACTCCCCCCGCCCCCCCAAAAAAAAAGATAAAAATAAAAATCTGATATAAGGATTTAAAAAATAAAAAAAATCACTTATTTGTCTAAAGTTAAAGTTAAAAATATTGGTTGGTCTAAATTTTTTATTTATTACTTATGGGAAAAAATCATAAATACCCTAATAATATATATCAATTCATTTTGTACTATTAAATATTTTCATTTACCGATATTACTGCAAAACTCTTTTAGAATCCCAAAAATACTATTTGGGAAATTTACCATCTTAGATTTGTAACCGAAATTCTTCAATGATGAAAAAGGAGGAGACATTAAATCCTTGAGCTAAATAAATGGAGATTCAAAATTCATACTTCGAATTAATTACTACAATACAATTAACAAATCAGTTGAATTTACTCATAGTCAACGATGGTGGGAGATTTGCTGCATTAATATCTTCATCATTTGCGTCATCGAAATGCTGATTCATTGGAATTATCTTCCAGAATTTTCAATTCACAATGATTTCAAGTAATTGTAACAATTTCTTATTTAACTTCTGGAATGAAACTTTATATAATCCATTTGTATTCCAGTTTGTGAAATCCTTTCTTTTTCTTGGTCTTTTAAAATTGGAAGTGATTTCTATCCAGTAGAATAATTTTTATTGTCTTTTCACCAATTGCTGTAATTCTACTCATATGGGCTATATGAAATTTAACTGATATATGAATGTGAATTCTTTAAAGTCTAGATTCCTACTTTGTAGCACCTAGAACTGTGTGATGAATTTATTGCACAACTCATTTATTGTGAAATGCGATGTAGGTATAATATGGCATTGTATGAGAGTCAGGATATCAGTGATAGTTAGAGTGGAAATGGAAGATAGGAAATCAATCTCCACGGCAAGAAAATGCCTTGACAAAGTATCAATTGAAGAACGAGGATAGTGTAAGTGTTATGCCCTAAATCCAATCGATTTAGGTTGTAAACGCTTTTAATATGTTTAATACATTTAATTTTGGCAAGATCAATTATTTATTTAAATTAGTTTTGTGATAAATAATATTAATAATAGAATCTGAGGATCCAAGTTAAGTAATTTGTTAATCACAAGGAGTTGTGATTGTGAGATACAAATTACGTATGATTGGATCTTGAATAAACCGTTGTTGTAAGTAATAACGAGATACGGATATCGTTAATACAGTTAGACCATCACGTGTGGCATTTCTTACTTGTGAAGTAAATAGCTGATCTCATGAGCTAAAGTTCATTCAAGATTACTGTAGGAAATACACATCCAAATGATTGTCTATTTTAGTTGTATAAACTTTTTTTTTTTTTTTCACAAGGCGTGTTCACATTTTTATAATTTGAATCCAATCTAGATTTCGTTGGATTTTTCATAGATGTTCTTCTTGTACTTCTACTCACCATGAATCAAGGAATGAAGAACATATGTTTTGCCTGGCATAAGTTCAATTTATACTGCACAAGACAATTCAGATTTTTTGCTTTCTTGTTGCTTTGTCAATGGGAACGAAATAGATTTTAGTAACGGTACAAGTAAGCTTCAGTCTTACGTTTTCTATGTTACAGCAAAAGTAACTGTTGCATGCCCTCTTTTTTCATCTATGATGAATTTGAAATTATAATTTATCATCCACTACAAAGTAAAGATAGCAACTTGCAAAATATCCAATATTACGTCTGATATCTCTCATCAAAAAGTGGTTTTCATTTTAACTTCATCTAATATTGCATAACATTTTCATCTTAATGAACTGCTATGAGAACCTGCTTAATTACCACCATGTGTATCCACCTTTAATATTGCGTTCCACCATTCCCAGTAGCATATCCTCTTAACAATTCAATTTAAATATGTATACAAATGTATTGAAATATACATGTTTCCTCCTAATTTAAAACATGAGATTAATAACATAAACTAATCAAAATGAATGAAAACAAAAGTAAGTAAAAATGAGATTAATGATCCAATGAGTTGTTCAAGTAATACACAAACATCCATTTCATGTGTAAATGCACAAAATGATTTTGTTTGGGCACTCAACAGCCCATCTGCCACAAGTTTGACGAAAACATGTGGACATGTCTTCTAGGCTTTCATGGACTTCCACGCATTCCTTACACTCTTTGGAACTAGATCAAAATTAGTTTCTTATTGATTGTTGCACTTTTGGTTGCTATACTTGTATAGTTGAAAAGCCAAGATGTCATCGTGATATTTAGAGCGAAGTTTTCTGACATTTCGTGAATCGAACTCCGCATACTCTATCAAAAAATATCACAATTTGTGGTTGAAATAATAACAAAAATATGTAATGTCAACTTGTATCTCTGATTGCATTGATATTGAAAGATTAAACTGCAAATTGAATTGGATGAAGAGCTAAAAAAATTGAATCATTTGAATAGAGAAACCATATAGCATAATAGTTTGGAGTAGAAATGATGGAATGTGACTTGATTGTACAACATCACGGTCATTGAATGCATAACATGTTCAATGAACATTGCGTGGTATGATACATCATATTTGGAGACGAAATCTCATAATAAGTAGCACTACAGTAACCTACAGTGAAATTGGAGGCGAACAATAAGAAGAGCATCATGCGCTTAAGGTAATATAGTTCAATCTAAAACCAATTGATTGTCGATGTGTATACATAAATTTCTATATAAAATAGATTGAAATTTAAGAAAGCAATAGTGCCAAATAAATTATTTGAATAATCATACATCTAGCTACCAAAAGAGCCACCTGATTGCTTTTTGATTTGAATATTTCTCCAGTTTAGCTCTGTTTTCTTCATCCCCTAAAACTCCCCAATTCCAACCCACCCACCCCCATTCCCAACACTCCACCGCCACCTTCCCCACCACCAATGCTTGCTCCAATTCTACTGCCAATACCAACTCCCATGCTTCCTCTACCAATTTCTTTGACTCATCATCGCCACTCACCTCCATTACTGCCACCCATTCCTCCTATGAGCAACACCTCAATCATCAATTGGTTTACCAATCCCAAAATCAACTATGTACGAAATGGTTGGACAATTGTGTTGAAATCAAATATAAAGCCCATTTTTATACAAATAGTCTGATAGTACATTGGTGATGAACAAGTTGGAGTAGAATCACCCCAACACAAGTCTAAAAACCCTAAGCCGTTTATCCCCTTTGTTAAAGATAATACTAAAATTATGATTTCTTCTTAATTGAAGACTGAAATTCTTCAACAACAAAAAAAAAAGGGGGAAGAGTACTATTTCCTTTTTCGGTGGAGTAATTATAGCCACACACCTGGAATATAGAAGAGTGAGGTGATTTTGAAGTTATCATTTTTACTGCATAAAATGTAGTATTTTTGGTTTAAAAAATATAATATAGTAAAATATGAATATTTTATAAAAACAATGTATTGGATGTAAATTCCACATTACTTATTTAATTGAGCCCATCTGAATGAGAAGGTTTTTGTAAAGCCCAATTAGAACACGCCTATATCCCATGACTGCTTGTCTTATGAACGGATTCGTACAGTGGCTAGGGTTTCTTCCTACGCTAAAAATTGGGGGAGGCAAAAAGGGTGGCATATGCCCCTTGACGCCGGTTTCTCTTGCATTGCAGTGATTTCTACTCAACTTCTTCATCAACATAATTGGAAGGTAGTATCGGAATTTTTTTCCTTGTAAAATCGCACTGATTGTTGTGAATGATTCAATTTCAACGCAACTCCTTATAATTAATTTTTTTTCCAAAATTGTTGTTTCTTGATGGTAATCTTCCTCTAGTAACAGTGATTTTATCGACAACATTTGTCTTGAATTTTTGATGCGGTGTTTATGGTTTTCTTCTTGCCATAAAAACTTTCCGCCCCTCAACTGTAATAGGTGAAATACTTAAGATCAAAATCCATTGGGGGCAGTTGCTCCCCACTAGACCCCAGGTGGCTTCGGCCCTGTTGCCTGACTGTAGATGCAGTCACTTGATGAATAAAAATATTTTTGTCGAAATTAGTGGTGTATTTTTAGTGTACCCTTTTTTCTTTTATCGATTTGTCACTTCGTCTTATATTTGTTTTTTAAAACTCTTATATTATTTTGTGGGGGAAAAGATTTATTGTGCTTTATAAAGACACTAGATAATTATTAGATAGATGGTATTGGGTTCCAATTATAATCTGAAGTTATAGTATTATAATTTGTAAAATGTAAGTACTTTTCTTTTATTTCTACTCACTGTGGAGGTGCTGAAATTTGCAGGAACAGGGAGATTTTTTAACACGAAGGTGCGATGAGGTTGGAGAAATGCTGGTTCTGTTCTTCAACTGTGTATCCTGGGCACGGGATCCAGTTTGTTCGGAATGATGCAAAGGTAAGAGTTATTTACTAGTTCTCATGCTTCTGCCGTTTAAATTAAAATTTTTTTTTTGACCAAACAATGGATCATCCTAACTAAAATTTGTCTTGGAACTCACAAATTTATTTAATGATTTGTTAAATAAAAGATTTTGAACTTTTATAAATTAGAATGGTTGGAGCCACAACCTAATAAATGCCTATGGTTTGTTATTCTTTACATAGGAGCAAACTGCAATTATACAGCAAGAGCATTTCAGTGATGTTTAGTTAGTTACATGTATATAAGAATAAATTATTCTACTACACTCTTCCTCCGTTATCTGGGGCTTGTGAATGTCTAAAATGTAATATTAATCTTTGGTAAATTTAATCCAATTTGATTGGAAAAAGTTTCACGGCACTTGTATTTAAGGATTTTTTTTCATGTCGTATTAGAATTATGCTATTAACAATTTGAATGCACGATGTATCGTATCGTAGTAGGGCTGCTGATAAGAGCTTTTGTTGAATTTTCTGAAATTTGTTCCAAGTGGATCTAAGTTGGTCACATCTTGTCGGGGTATAATTTGAAAAGTAATAATAGGCCTGTTGGTCTGATTTTTTCTTATTTTTTATGGGAAGAATGATTTGAGCAGGTTTCTTGTATGGAAATTTGTAGCTGAGTTTTTGCAGAAAGGATGACTATGATAGTGATGTAGAATAACTCAGTAAACATAATAAGAAGAGAAGAGAGAAGAGAGAAGAGAGGAGAAGAAGAAGGCAGAGGCGGGGAGAGAGGAGAAACGGCTGAAGCCAACTCTTTATTTCATCAAATTCATCATCTCAAATAACAATGTAAGATAGGTTTAAATACTGGAAAAATAATGCAAACCTAGGGCCAAGCCCAATACAAAAGTCCATAAAATTAAAATAACCTAAGTTCCAACTAAAATAATTAAAATTGCTAAAATTAATTAAAATTGGATGTCCTCATCAATTCTCCCGGGGTGGGAGAGAAAACTCGACCCTGTCGAGTGGCTATATCACCATAGGCATCTGTCAATCTCCCAACCATAAGCTGAGTGGCTGGGCAAGCTTCTTCCTGCGTCTGTAGAAATGCGTCAGTGGCGGTCTGAACCTGGTGTCCTCACCAACTCCCCTCGGGTGAACGGGAGGCGATCTGGGCCAAGGAAGATCCTGCTGACTCCGATAAAGCTCTAGCAAATCTGGATCCAAATGCTGTAGTGTCTCCCTGGAGATCCATGCACAATCAGAATCTGGTCGACCAACCCAACGAACAAGGAAGCGCTGAACCTCTCCATCATTAGTGAACACAGTTTCTTCATCTAAAATAGCATCAATTTTATCTGTGTGTGCTGTGAGAGGTGGTAGTGGGTTAGTGGGGGCCAAAGAATTAGGATCAAGGTCCACAAAAGGAGGTAACAGGGGATCATCTGAGGGAATGAAATGGCCTTTATAAGCTACAAGGTCTTCAACATTGAAAGTATGATGGTAACCAATGTGGGATGGAATGTCGACAATATATGCATTTGGACCAATTTGCTTTAAAATTTTAAAAGGACCGGCACTACGAGCTTGCAATTTGGAGGCGGGTCCATGTAGACGCCGCTCTGGCCGAATGCGAACCATAACGTAATCCCCAACATTAAACTCAATGTGCCGTTTATGTAAATCAGCGTGTAGTTTATAATTTGCATTACTAGCTTCAAGTTGTTTATTGATCTCAATGTGCAAATCACGAAGGTGTTGTGCAAATGCTTCGGCTGATACTGACACTCTAGCCTGTGGGGACATAGGGATGAGATCTAATGGTTTCCTAGGCTTGTATCCGTGAACGGCTTCAAATGGACTCATACCTAATGAACGATTTACGGAGCTATTATACGCGATTTGAGCGACAGGAAGGATTAAATCCCAATTTCGAAGGTTCTCTCGGACCAGACAACGTAATAAGTTACCAAGACTCCGATTAACAACTTCGGTCTGACCGTCAGTTTGAGGGTGGTAGGCTGTAGAAAATTT